CCTTCCCCCGATCGTCCCGCCCGACATGGCCTGTCGAACTTGTCTAAGGCAGTTTGCCACCGTCGTTTTTTATGGTCGCTCTCATGACACGAGCTATCGTCCAACATGCTCCAAGGCTCGTGTAACCTTTCGCTGCTGCTGCACACTCTGCAATGCGATGGAGAGCTCTCCTACGAAAGTATCCAATGGTTCTTCCATCGATGCGCATCTTCTCTACAATCTTCAGTATGTCGTCTTTCGATATGCCATTCTCGGTTGGGAGATGTGTCAACTTTGTTATCAACTCTTCTGCCATGCAACATACATACACACCATAATCCTCTCTGTTTGCTTTGTTGTGAAGACCTCGCATGGATTAGTCCACGACCAAACACATCTCTGCAAGTGTTCCACGACTTGTTCACCAGTTGGCGTGCGACATCCGGACCCCTTCGTTTGTCGTTGAGGTACTCGTGCCACATTAATGTCCACAACGCCCTCCAATCTGGAGTTGCGTACCCATCACAAGAGTCGACAATTATGGCGTCGAGGCATGTGTCGTCGGTCCAAAACTCCCTTACATTCAACATTATGAGCAGCATCCAGTGATGCTTGTGATTAATTGGAATAAGCACGACCGGTGCAGCCTCCAGGTCTTTACACAGCCGATGAATTTTGGTCGTCCGACTCTTCACACGCAACTCCCATCCCCTTTTCACTGTGTCGACTTTCTGATTCGCGAGCACCACCGGATGCCAAAAAGTTGTGCACACATGCACTGTTGCAGTGTCCTTACCTTGCAATTGCTCTTCGTATATGGAAAACAAATACATATCCATTACATTGTCATTGAGCCATTTCCCAACGGCCAAGCACATCACATCTGTCTCCGCCAGTCGGATCTCCTCCCTTTTGCCTTTCCACATAAGTGGATATATGTTCGTCTCGTCAACAACCTCGAACCCATCCGACGAGGTTGATGCGTTCTCGCCCTTCTTTGTCTGTGTCGTCTTCCCGCATGACTCTGCAGGTCCGAGATCCGCTGACCGAATTGTTCCTCTTGTCGCTGCCAAGTACATTCTTTTGTACCACGGGTCCTTCTGTGACAGGTGCTCCCATCTCTCCAACATAGCCTCCATTGTCATTATTCTGCACTTCGCCGCCGTTCTCTCTGTTGCTTCTTCGCCTTCTCTTGTTGTGGCTTGTGGCCTCTTCTCGGTGTGCGACGCTCCCTTGTCGACCTTTTGCGTTTCCACTTTGCTTCGTTCTGAGTTATCCTGCTTCGTCGATATTGTTTTCTCTTGATTGCAATCGATCGTGACCTCTGCCACGCTATCATCTCCGACGTTTTTTTTCTCTTCAGTTGTCCGCATTCGTGTTGTTCTTGATCGTTTCCCTCTCCTCGTGGTCATGTCTGCTGCCAGTGCTGAGCGTTTAGTACTGTTCCTCATAATGTGTGACATTCTACCTGTGAACAAGCCATCAATATTTTCACGAGCTTTCTTGCATCAGTTTCGGTAGTCATTCCTTGGTCACGCGATGACAGGGCTTGGAGAGAGAGAGAGAGAGAGAGAGAGAGAGAGAAAGAGAGAGAGAGAGAGAGACAAAGTTGGGTGGTGGGGGTCATAAAGATATCGTGCGTGAGCGGTGTTCCTTTAATTGGCACACACTACCCAACCGGACCGCGCAGCCACCGTTGAATGTCGCAAGCCACTCAATACAAATCTGTTCAAGTAAAAAGTGTCCTCGAGTTGTCTTCCATAAGTCTCCGGTGAACCCCACTGTAGTTTTGCGAAACATGGAACAATGTGGACAGTGTTCGTGATGCTGTCAACGGAGATGACGCTGCACAGCTGACGAGCATTTACCATTTTCCATTTCAATTTTTTGCACCCTGTTACATCTGCTCTTTCGGTGTCAGCCTCTTTGTACCATTTTACAAAGGCGAACTCATGTGTGATGGACACTTCTTCCGTACAGGTGTTCATGACAAAAAACATTGTCACAGATGCATACCACGTACTTCCTGTCTGTGCCCTCACATCAACATCATTGTGCACTACTCTCCCGTGGAAGTTGGGTGAGGCCCCTGCAGTTCGCACAAGTACTCCCCTGGTTGTTCCATCGGCGGTTGCTGCGATGGCAAAATGCGTTCTTGTGCGTATTAACATGTCCTCATGCGGTGGATTGCACCCATTTTTCGACATGTACGTGCGAAGAGCTTCTCGAAATAAGTCCTTGCAAGGGAGGACATCCAATATCGCTTTGGCGGTTCCTGTCGCACCTTCGTTCCCATTGAATACCCTATGTTCGAGGGGGGAAAATCAAAGATGCAACTTTGTCGTGTCGCGTACGGCAAGTGTGTTCATTCCGCTTGCCGAGCACTCCATGACGGACGCCCAATTCTCAGTTGTCCTCTTCCTCTGTTTTCGTGCACGTTCAATGTCGTCGTCGAATGTGACAGCCCGTCGCACATGATTCACCATTTGAAATGAAGCTTTGCGCTTGTTCGACGACAGGAAAGACTGTTTACAAAACTTCTGGTGGTGGTGCTCCCACACATCGGCCGCGAAGCTGTCTGGGAGACCTGAACGTTCGATGCACGCCCTCAAATGCAGAAGGTCGTGCAACTTCGACAGTTTCCAGTTGGAGGTTTGATAATGACCCAGGACCTGTTTGAGGGTTGTTATGAAGTCCGTCATAAGATTATCACATGTGTCAAGCGAATGGCTGGAATGCTTTGTGCACCGGAACATTGAGATGTACAGTTCCATTAATTTCTTGAAACAAGATGTTATTCTTTTTCCCACTGACCCAGGGATAATGTTGGACACTACGAATACGCACACTGTCATAACCGACCGGTTCTGCTTAGCTTCGAAACGCCCCTCCCGTGAAAAGTAGTCGCTACATGTTGCTACAGGTAGCACAAGTTGCGGATGCGTAGTACTGCTTCTCTCGCTCAGCGTCAGCAACCTCGCATCCAACTCCTTCAACACATGGCTTTGTGGGACGTGGCTTAACTTGTCAAAGGCAGATGCTCTGAAAGCATCTAACATGTGCAAAAATATGTCGTGCTCGATGGTGTGCATGCGGTCCGGTTGCAGAGTCAGGTGGTAGTCGAACATAGGATCATCGTCTTCAGGACCCCTATAAAATCCCCACATCCCGTTCTGTTTCACATGCATGTGCATGTTTAAGTTTGACAATTGTGTCTTCGTCATGTGACGAACATCGTCGTTGTCTGTGGAATGAAACTCTGTTAGAAGTGCACGGTCCATGCTTTGTGATCGACGACAGTTATTGAAGTCCACAATGACATCAAAATCGGATTTTGACACTGTGTACGTAGCGCATACACCGTATCTCACCGTTGCGACGGCGCACCTCTCAGGGTAGTCTTGAATATAATTCAGCAGGAAAGGGTGCACTGTTACCTCTCTCCACCGCGCATCATCATAAACAATGTTATCATGTGATGCATGCTTCGCAGCCTGCAACACCACAGACAGTGTGGAGTGCAATATGACGGCTTTGCGTTGCCTAAACACGGGTGCTTTGCAAACCCCATCCCTTGTCTCCTGGGCGATGATGGAGGACAGGAAGATACGCAAGAAGTGTCGCGTCATCTGCATGGTCACCTATTGACATCATTAATGGATATGTCGTCTGTTTTTTACATCCATTTACATGTGGTTTGTCAGAATACAGACAGATTGGCACCACCTACCGTGTTCTGCCATTCTTATCTACACCTTTGTACGCTCTGATGACGATTTATACGTGATGCCACAACGCACCTGAGCGAGCGCTGTCTGTTGTGGGTTCTGCCTCGGGGGGGGAGACTGAGAGACACGACACTATTTCCATCTTTTTCGTCGCTGCTTTGAGTAGCGACGCGAAAGTTGTGTGCCAATCTCGGTACCACAGGACGGCATGTGCATCTGATGGTCAGTCATCACTTCTGAGATCTATCTCCCGCCACCCGTTCGTCTCTGCCTGCCTGCTCGTCCAATGTAAAAGTCACGGCTATTGCGGTACACGATTTCCTACGGCGAGAATCTTGGATCTGTCAGTACTGACAGAAGAGCATCGATTTCGTTGAGCGACATCCCTAAGCCACCCCTAGAGGACAACATGATCGCAGCCAATCTGCGGGATGTGTTGAACGACTGCACGTCAGGGGGATCTTCCTCGGAACCACATTCCATTTCTGCATTCAAAGCGAGGTCGACGATATTTTCACCCTGGTCACCGCCATCCAGCGCACAGTCCTCCCCTGCGGGTTTGCTCTCCCCACTCTGTCCATCGTCATCGTTTGATCTACGACTCATTGACGACGCACATGCCCTCGCGCGATGAGAGTTTAATGTTCTTAATGACATGAAAGGTCGACCGCATCCACACACCATGCGCTCGTCCGTCATCTGCACTGTCTCTTTTACATGATATGAAATGACCTCACACCTACAGTCCTAAACGCTTTGCATGCACAATGGACTTACTACTTGGCCTTTCACGACGTTCGTTTTTTTCCTGCCTTGCTACCACAAACAGAACAATAAAAAGACACGTTCAGTGTTCCAAACATACTGTGCACCGAAAAGTGAAAACATACGGCTGGGTTGAAAAGGAAACATACTGTGTTACATACCACTCCCTCTCGTGATGTTCATTTCCATTTATATTTTTGCCGCCTGCTAACGAACCACAACCTATATACGGCTGGGTTTTTATCTGTGGTCATTGTGGAAACATCATCGCACTCTTTTAACCGCACCAACAGTCATGAGAGAGAGAGAGAGAGATGAGTTCTGAACCAAATCACTTACGGCGGGACACGACAACAACGTGGAAGGGAGATATACATAAATACCATGCAATATTAACACTGCAGCATAAGCAAAATCCCATTTTCAACACGGTTGGGAAGTGGGTGTCACTTATGTCGTGATACGGCAACAACGTCTTCATATACGGCCCCAACTTCCCAACCACATCGTCACTGGCAATGCACATGTGATACAATAATAAGAATATATAATCTGTGTGTGTGTGTGTGTGTGTGAGAGAGAGAGAGAGAGATGACTTTTGAAGGCTTATCACTTACGGCGGGACACGACAACAACATGGAAGGGAGGTATGCATAAACACCATGCAATATTAACACTGCAGCGTAAGGAAAATTCCGCTTTTCAACACGGTTGGGAAGTGGGTGCCACTTATGTCGTGATACGGCAACAACGTCTTCATATACGGCCCCAACTTCCCAACCACATCGTCACAAGCAATGCACATGTGATACGGTAATAAGAATATCTAATCTGTGTGTGTGTGTGTGTGTGTGTGTGTGTGTGCGTGTGTGTGTGTGTGTGAGAGAGAGAGAGAGAGAGAGACAGAGATGACTTCTGAAGGCTTATCACTTACGGCGGGATACGACAACAACGTGGAAGGGAGATATGCATAAACACCATGCAATATTAACACTGCAATGTAAGGTAAATCCCGCTTTTCAACACGGTTGGGAAGTGGGTATCACTTATGTCGTGATACGGCAACAACGTCTTCATATACGGCCCCAGCTTCCCAACCACATCGTCACAAGCAATGCACATGTGATACGGTAATAAGAATATCTAATCTATGTGTGTGTGTGTGTGTGTGTGTGTGTGTGTGTGTG